AAAAAAAAAAAAAATCAGGAAACTATGTCACATTGACTTTTGCTTTTAACGGAGTAACACAGAAGGGTTAAGCAATGTCAGAAGGAAAAAGCCTTTACTTTGAAAAATTATTAAAACATGGCTTTAATAACATTCAAATACTAAATTCTCCAGGTTCTAACAGTCACATACTTCAAGAGCATTAAGCTGGAGTTTTGTATGTAAGCTATTTCCATCCAAGCAGTAATTTTTACACACTACTCATTACTATTACAATTCTCTTAACCTCCTCTTTGTCTAACGTTTGTATTGTTTTGTCAGATGCCATAGAATCAACCCCTGACTCATGGCGACTCCATGCACAACAGGATCGGACCGTTGTGATCCATATGATTTTCAGCAGCTGATTTTCTGGAAGTAGATCACCAGATCTTTTTTCCAAGTCTGTCTTTGTCCGGATGCTACGCTGAAACCTATTCAGCATCACAGCAACAGGCAAGCCTCCAACTGACAGTTGGGTGGTGGCTGTGCATGGCCAGGAATTGAACCCAAGTCTCTGGCCTGGTAGGCAAGAATTCTACTACATAATTCCTGTTATTCTACCAATAATTACTACCCCCCATGTAATTACTCATTCTTTTTTTAAGGAAAACAATGAATAACCTAGGTCAGCACATATCTCTGAAATTTGAATGTATGCTTTTCACATGAATGTTATACAATGTTCATAGCCATCCGATGTTATTTCAGGTGTGATTATTGTGAAAGACTGAGTTACTTCTGAGATAGCAACAATATTGATTCTGATAAAAATCAGTACTGGCTTTCACTGCCTCACAACCAAATGTGAGAACCTACAACCAGTGAGAAAAGATGCTTTACTAGCATTAGAAGCAAATTTGATCCTACATTTTAAAGACACTTTGATTTTGAAAGTTCTTTAGAGCTGGAAAAACTGTTCAGTATTTAAAAATACATGGAAACAAGAACTCTTGCTTCTAGGCCATTGGGAAAAACAAACCCCTGCCAAAGCAAAAAAACTTGAAATTCATGTGAAAATAAAGAACTCAAGAATATGAAAAGTTATTCATAAAATTACAAAAAGTATGATTTTCTAACCAGTAATATGTGCCAGGTACTTTGCTAAGGAGGCATGAGAAGGGCTGGGATAATGAAAGGACATGAAAATGAGGCTGGAGAAGCGTTTACAATCTAGATCACAGCACAGAGGACCTCTGATCTTATCCTACTGGCACTAAAAACCACTGAAAACGTTTAAGAGAAACATAATTAGGTTCTTCCATTTGTTAAGATTACTCTGAACACAGAGTACAGCCTGTATTGAAGGGAAAAGTGACTGTTTGCAAAGATGCAACTTTGGATCAGGTGAAAGATGACTAGGTAATGAGAGATGACTAGGTAAAAGATAGGAGAACTATAAAGCAGAAAAAGCAGATTATGAATAAATTCATTGGTTACAACTATGCAAATACGTGTTTGTGCCCTGGGGAAATGTCACTGTAAGTCTATATTAGTTCAGTCACATTTTTTTTCTAATATATTGTTCTAAACTATGAGGTCATCAGAAATTCAGGAAAGCAAATTTTCAGAGAAATGTAAAGGATATAATAATCTTTGTTTACTAAAGCAAATTATATCCAAGTAACATTTGCCCTTGAATAACCCATCCAAATGCATATTTCCACACAGTCAAGGATAGTGCTTTGACATTAAAAATTAGAAGAAATCTACAAAGTTAATTATTCTTTTGAATGATCTGATTTGGGCATATAACATCAGGATTCTTGAAATAGTTCCCCTGTAAATTGTTATGCTCATTACTGGAATATTGTCAAGTACAGAAAATTGTTAGAAAGGAGGGGGAAAACTCAAAATCCATGTAATATTTTGGCATATTCCCTTTGTATTTTCTACTGTTCTTTTAAAATTACATGGCATATGCATACTTTAAAAAAAATGCACTAACATAGGAAACGTGTGCCTAAGTCCCTGAAAAGTCTAAATTTATACTGTATCATTCAAAATAAAGTTTTTTTAGAAATAAAATATTCTTTATAAGGATAGTATTCTTTCCAATTTTGGCTTAATTGTTGTATATTTAGACAATTGTATGCTTTGAAAATGCAAAGAACTTATAAAGTTGAGGTAAGTAACGGTGTGAAGAGGGGTATCTTCCTATAATAATCAATACACATGTTTTTGGAATTTGTTTCATCTCAGGAGTAAAAAAGAGGTTCACTCCTAACTATCTCCTACATCTGAGCCTCTAATTTCAGCTCAGTATATTATGAATTTTTTTTTTAACTAACTGATTCTTTCCCCTACCTTTCTAATCACTTTGTCTCTGGTTCTCATAGCTTCAGAATTAAGATTTATTGATATTTCTTAATGTTGAGGGAAGAGGAACAGGAAGATGGAAGAAAATGCAAAAATACATTTTTTTCTTTTAATAATTGGGAATTTGATTCCAATGGATCCTTGCATAGCTTCTGAACATAATTAGTACAAAACTGAGATAGTTAAACTTTAAAGTTATTCTTGATTTCCGAGACACCATACATTGCCGGAAAAGGAGAAGGTAGGTCACAAAGTATTTTAGATACACTTTAGAATCATTAGTCAACATATACATTTCCTTTTGATACAATACCTGCTGATGACTCACAGTGCTTTTCAATTTCAGAGAGTGTCCCAATCAAATTATCATCTTCTATCATATTTAAATAAAACAAAATATTGCAGGAAAATAAAACATTTTCAAGAAACAAAAAGAATCAAAATTTTAAATCTAAGCAGAAAGCTTAATAAGCATAATGACAAGAAAGAGAACTTTTTAGGTAGATTTAGAGAACCTTTATTATACAAAATCCACATATACCCGGCCTGCTTGTACCAACACTGTCACCTACTTTTAGTTCTCCTATTGCCAGCACTGGCTCAAATCATGAGCATATACGTAGCAACCTAGTCAAAATTAAAGTTTCCATCACAAGCAAAAAACCTTGAATAATCTAGAGATAACGGAAGAGAATTAACGCTTATTTTGGTTACTCAGACCACCTGCCTTGCCTGATTTCTAGTAGGATTATCTATGCTTTTATGCCTAAAATATAGATTGTGTAAAAACAAAAATTAACAAAACCGCATGTACAAACGAGAATGAAGTTTTCATTAAAGCAAACAAAAAAACTTATTAGATATATTCATTTTATATAAAGTTAAAAATAGGAAAAACACTATGTTCACAAAGATATATAAGACAGTAACATCATGTTTAGACATTTAGAAACCAAACCATTTTATATTTCATTCTAGCCTATGTTACTTATGCCATTTTAACAACGGCCACACACACAAGATATATTTCTCTTAAGTGAGTTTTGACAAATTAAATTGAAATATAATTCAATCAACTAATTAGGGCAGTGGTTCTCAAACTTAGCATGTATCAGCATCACTGGGAAGGCTTGTAAAAACAGACTGCTACCTCCATCGCCACAGTTTACGATTTAAAAGGTCTGCATTTCTAATAAGTTCTCAGGTGATGTAGATGCTGCATGTCCAAGGACCACACTTTGAGTACTACTCAATCAGTGATTTGCATTATTAATGACAACCCCATCACACCTAGAACCAGCAGCAATAAAGACAATGAGTTTTCATAATTTTAATGAGAAACGGCTGCTCCAGAAACACAGATGCTTTGTTTAAGTGGTCTTGTGATTTATTACATTAACAATGGGGGAGAGAGGTAAGTAAGAATCTATAGAAGGAATGGGTAAAGGTGATAACAGAAAAAACTCTTAAGCAAAATCTAGCTATAATAAAAAATGGGGTTTGTTTGGTGAGGTTTAGGTTTACATAGCTATGCCCGAATAGTTATTTTTAAATCTTTCTCATTTAGATTCCTATAGAGGAAAAAAAAAATTCCTCTAAGCACACAACCCTTTTCCTCCATTCAATCAATTGCTTTTAAAACAGTTGTTTTTAAAACACAAACTTTCTTAGGAATGCAACCATCAGTTCACAGGAGAAAGGACTGCATTATATTTTGCCTCCAACTATTTATATTGATCAGCAGTTCATAAATTTGATGCTTTCTTAACAGTGCTGTGATTAAAATTCTCCTATCCAGATAATTGCGAAAGAGAAAAGGAAAATGTGGCTAGTTCGATAATGTGTTTCAAATAAACAAAATTTCTAATGTTAAATTCTTCACTAGCCCATTAAAATAATAATAATCATCATCCTGATCAGACTCTGGGTGCTAAATTTCACATGTAATTGATGATAATCACTTACCTACTGTTGGAGTATTGGCTGCACTCAATGAAGCAGATGATGAGATAGAGGAAGAACTTTCTGCCCTGGCTAAAGGAGCGGCAGGAGGTGGGCTGGTGTTAGAAGTTACAGGTGGGCTGAATGGCCTAGGCTTAAAAACAAAAGGTTATTTATCAAAATGCTAAAACAACTCTTCCTCTGTCAGAAAAGATTTTAGCTATCAGGTAAGTTTAGTTTTAATATACCAAACCAAATTTACTGTGTATAAGTGTCTTATAACTCAAAATCAGAGAAGCATAGGTCAAATCATTTTCGAGAATATACTGAAGTTGAAAAAAAAGGTAGTTTTAAAATAATTCCATAAAGACGGTCTTTATCCATAAAACATTTTCTGCATATCAAAATTAGACTTAATATAGACTGCAAGAAGTTAAATTATTAAGCAGTAGTAAGGCTCTTCATACATACTACCAAACTGCTTCCCAAAAGGATTATTCACTTCACCCTACTGCCTATAAATATATGATACCTAAATATGAGAATATCTATTTCTCTTGCCAGAAATGGACAAGCCTTAGAAGAAGCAAAAATAATTAAAAAACAAGACAAACAAAAACTTAGCTAATTTGATAGATAAAAACAGAATTTGCATTTTCTCTTTCATGAATTGTCCACATCAGCTTTGTCTAACTTAGTTTTGGGAGGTCTTAGTATTACTTGAGATTTAATTAACCCTTTGCTTTATTTGCTGCAAATATCTTCTCCCTAAATATTGCTTGCTCGTTACTTTTGGTGTTCACGAATCTGTCTATATTTTCCTTTGTAATTCCTTGCAGTGCTTCCTCATTAAGAAGGTTCACCCCATACAGAGGTTTGAAAAAAATCTTAATTCTACGGTCTTCTAGTTAAACATAAAACAAATACAAAAATGTAACTCCAGTTCATTTATCTTTTACTTCGGGGCATAGATTTTTTTTTTCCTTTTCAAATTCCTAAATGTTCAAATAATACATCAGTAACACTTTCTGAAGTGTTTCACTTTTTAAAATTAGGCATTCTTAACTTAATTTTCAAATAACCTCCTCATACTGTTAAAAGTATTAAGCAAATACAACAAATATTTATTTAGTACCTATTATGTATCAGGAAACCCTAGTGGCGTCAGTTCGAATCCACCAGGCGCTCCCTGGAAACTCTATGGGGCAGTTCTACTCTGTCCTATAGGGTCGCTACGTCATTGTAAGTTGGAATTGACTCAAAGGCAACAGCTTATTATGTATCAGGCCCTGAGTTAGGTACTAGAGGCAAAGCAGTGAACGAGAGAGACAATGTTGCTGTCCTTATTTATTTGAAGAGCATGAAAACAAAAGGCAAAAACAAACAAAACTATAAGCATTCACATACTGAAATCAGTCTACCCTTCACTATATGACTATAAGCTTACAGATACATTTTTTAAAAAATTGGGTAATACACCTACTCCTCACTTATTGACTATCTCATTATCCAACACTTTGCATTTACGACAATAGTAAAAAATCTATTCAACTGTTTTGCTCACTAACAGTGTATGTCTTGCAGTAACGAATGCCAAGGTGCAAGGCAAGAGTAATGCTGGCTGTAATGGTTAAAGTTATGTGTCAACTTGGCTGGGCCATGATTCTCAGTGGTTTGGCAGTTATGTAATGATGCGGTCATCTTCTATTTTGTGATCTGATGTGGTCATCCTCCATTTTCATGTAATGACCTGGTCTTTGGAACCTAACCATGTTGATGAGTGGGTGTACTGCATATAGTGCTTTGAAATTTGCATCCCCCGCCCCCATACTGAACTATTGTTTAAACTCTTTTTTCCAAATAATGGCTTTTTAATGACTCATCATTATGCAGCTATGTAGGCAGATGAAGGTAGTGCAGGGCATGGGGCTGAACAGACAGTGAACTGATTAGCTCATCTGAAACTTACATGCTTGGAAAAAAGTCTTTTGAGATCAGCTACTGTGGAGGATATTTCTCTTCATGGCCATGTAATGTGGCTGCATTTTCTACAGTGCATTTTATAATTTTTTAGAAAAAGGAAAAAAAAAAAAAACAACAACACTGTCTAGTATAGTAGCTGTTAGGCACATGTGGCTGAGCACTTGAAATGTGGCTAAGTCCAAATGGAGATGAACTGTAAACATAAAATACACACTGACTTCTGAAGATTTAGCACACACACAAAGAGTAAAATATTAATAATTTTTATATTGATTACATGCTAAAATAATACTATTTTGATTACTGGGCAAAATAAAATTAATTATTAAAATTAATTTCAGCTTTTTTAAAGTGGTTACTAGAAATTTTTTAATTATTTATGTTGCTTGCATTGTATTTCTATTGTACAGCACTGCTTTAAAACAATGGTTCTCAAACATGCGCATGCATTAGAATCATTTAGAGGGCTTGTTAGAAGAAAAATTGCTGGGCCTCTGCCCACAATTTCTGATTTGTCTGGGGTGGAGCCAGAAAAACTGAATTTCTACCAAGTTCCCAGGTGATGCTAATGCTGCTGGCCTGGGGACCACATTTTGAGAACCACTGATCTAGAACAATGAGGGGTTCTCTGCAGGGGGCAGGGAGGGGTGGTGTTTACAGACTACTTTGAGTGGCTAGTGAAAGCCATGAGCCCTCTCTCCAGAAAAGTGCACATATAAGCAGGCAAGGAAAAAGGCATTCCAATGTACAGTTGCAGAGAATTAAAATTAGCATAACCTTTTTGATGGGCAATTGTCAAAAGAGTCCTAAAAATGTGTATACTCTTTAGTTTATGAATTTTACTTTAAAATTTTTCTACTAAGGAAATAACAAATGTCTACAAAGAAGCATAAGGATATTCATTCATTATGACACTGTAATACTAAAAATTTGGAATTAAACTAAAAAACAAATTTCTAAAAAGAATGAATTTTAGAAATTTAATTCTGGCAACAGTGTAGAAGATGGAGTAATTTAACAATTACTTTGCACTTGACAATTTTCTAAGTGTTTTAAATATTATTAACTCATTTAAGTCTCACAACACCCTTAAGTATTATTACCCCCATTTTATCCATGAGGAAACTGAGACTCTGAATAAATAACCTGCCCAAGGTTGCTCAGCTAGTAAGTGGCTAATAAGCCTGTGCTTTTAACCACTACATTTTACTGGCTCTGGATAAATATTTATGCATTAAAAATAATGAAAGGATATATGTAAAAATGTTAATAGTGGTTATCCTTGCAAGGTACAATTTAGAGGAATTTATTTTCTCCCAGATTTTACATGATCATGCATTGCTTTTGTAATCAGGAAAAAAACAGTATCTTAGATGTAGTAATTTTTACATTATTTAAATAATAACCATCTTGTTGGCAGCTTGCCCCTAATCTTTCATTTCACTTCCACTAAGTTTGTTCACTGAGATATAAACGGGTAAAAGAAAGACGACATCATTTCAACATCTGATGTTCAAAAGTCTTTTCATTCACTCACTGAACATTTCCTAACTATGTACCATATGACAGGCATCATATAAAATACTGAGGATATGAAATTGGCTAAGGCATAGTCCAGTGAAGGGAACACACACGAAGAAAGTATATATAATGTAATATGTGCACTAACAGAAATATGAGCAAAGCATTATCGAATATAAGGAAGAGAATGATTAGATCCATTGGGGGAAGAGTGATGCGATGATCTGGGAGGGCTTTACCTAGGTGGTGACATTTAGGTGGGTCTTAAAGAAAGATGTCAGTTTGCTACATAGAAAATGGAAGGGCATTTCAGATAGAAGGAACAGAATAAGAAGACATCGATGTATAAAACAGCATGATGTGTTTGGAGAACACTGGAAAGTTCCAAGCAGCTGGAGCACAGATTGCAAAGAGGAGAAAGTTGGGCAGAATCTGGTCATGCAGACTGTTGAGGCAGTAACTTTATGAAAAGCCTTATACGTTCAGCTAAAACATTCAACTACACAGATTAAGGGGAATCATTTGTGAAGTGTATCAAGGGAAAAAGAAAAACAAGATTAAGTGTGACTTTTAGAAATTTAGTATTTAATTCTGGCAACAATGTAGAAGATGGAGCAAAGCACAACAGATCGGAAGCAAGAAGACTGGTTTGGGAGGGCCTCACTCTGAATTATACATTTTCTTTCATCATCTGAAGATTTTTGAAGACCAATGCTTTTTCTTTTTAAACATAGGTACTTATACAAGTTACTTGTGTGAGCTCCAGTTTCCTCATGTATAAAACAAAGTTGGATTACGACCCTCCTGGCAGTATCCTTCTAAGGCCTAAGAACAAGCCACCATTTCTTCCTTCATATCTGACTTAAGCAGAATTACATGAAAATTGCTTCTTCATTGTGAAGCAATGGGTCCTGAATGGTATTTTTGTAATGTGCGAACCTTCTCAGGAAATCTCTTCCCTCCTGAACAATGTCCTGCTCCACAGGTATGATCACTGAGGTAATATGGGGGAGTGAAGGTGGTACTTGTTGGGAAAATTTTTCTGCATTTTAATAACTCAAGGAGAAAACTTCTAGCATTTAACTGTAAAGGGGCATATAAAGAATTATCATTTGCATCTTAAATCAAAACAGTTACATAATTAAAAAAAAAAACCTGAGTACATACTATTTCATTAATCCCACTGAGTTTGCCTGAAGTAAGCTTTGGTCTGGAAGCAGGCCTTGGAGGTGGGACAATGGTGCCTACAGAAAGAGGAGTTGTAGGCCTGGCTGGTGGGGGGAAAAAAAGAATTTGAAGAAAATCATTAGTACGCAGCAATGCTTATGTAAAGACATTCTATTATAGAGGAATTGTTAGGATTCAAAGTTTATTTTTCAGGAGGTTTTTTTTTTTTAATATGTTATATGTATTTATTGAAATACTAGCAATCTATCTATCAAATATGCTTTCTTTTGAAGTTACCAAAAATATTCCTGAAAAAAATTGTTAACATTTTAATAAAAATGATAAACATAATATAAATTTTATTCCCATTTCAATCATTTATACATATAAAATTTAAATCTCAAAAATCAGCTGATAAAAATAAACAAATTTAAGGCCTAAGGTCTTTAGTCTATGGCTAATACATCTACTTTACAGATAGTAAATGCAAGACCGAGCTCTTGAAGCAATACCTTCAGAATAATAACAGAGCGCTAAATACAACACTTACCTTAAACTTGTTAATCTGACTTTTAAGTTGGACCGTGTTGTAATATTTTTTTGGATAATCAAAAGCATTAAAACAAACCCTTAACAGTTTATTAAAAATATTCCTCCAAATCAATACAATTAATTTTTGGTAAGTGCTCAAAATGTCATCTTAACTTTTCCTAAATCTTACACAAATTTAGTGCTCACTGTTCTTCAATGCCATTTGGGTTCTGACAATTTTGCAAATTAGGAATACTAACCTCAATAGTCCTAACCAAAAATAATTCTTACTATGGTAGAAATAACCAAATGAAAATCAAGTGAACATCAAAAGTCACGAATGTATTAACACAACCAAAGCAAGAATGAAGAATAAAGTGAAATAAGTTTAAATCATCTTCAAATAAATTAATCAGAATGATTTTCAAATCCCTCTGGTCTATTCCAAAGTTTGGGACTATAATTTAGAGATGAAAAATATAATATGGATGGGAAGAAATATATTCACCAAGTTCTTTAAGTTTGCAGATACACAGATAAAAAAAAAAAAAAGTATATAAACGGGCCTAAGTATAAACATGGGGAAACTAACAGTAAAGCTGAGGGCCCTTGGACCATCGGTAGAGGAATGGAGGCATGAAAAGAAGGAGTATGGAGGTGGCAGGAAGAAAACTAAAAAGGCTAATCACATAGGAGTAAAAGTAAACGTGTGGTGAGTGGGTGGGGAGTCAATTAGAAAGCGTATTATATGAGGGAATAAAAGATGCAAGTATAATTCAGGCTTGAAGAAAATGGTAAAAAGCTGATAAGATATCAAGTTTAGGTTCTAAGGTGGCTGGCTTCTCCCAGTCAGCACCGCTTCCCTCATTCTGACTCACACTTTAAGCTGTACGCTGGAAGAAATGTGCACCAACCTGAGGACCTTAACACTTCCCTGTGCTACGACATGTTCACTTTAAAGATATGTTCACTACCAGTGAAACCAGCACTGACCTGTACTGTTATTTCAAGCCTGTGAGAGCTTAACAGAGCAGAGGTATTTACACCTGGAGCTTTATTACTATGAAGTGGCCTATCCTGATGACACTTGGATTGACTCAAAACAAGGTTGTTGGAAGTGTTACATTTAGCTCCTTCAAACAAACCAGAATTTTTTGAGGGAAAGCTAATAATAGTACTTATAAACACTACAATGAATCTTTATTATATCTGCATAGCAATTACCCACTGCTTCTAGGAGCCTCTGGAGGAAATGACTACAATTGTTTACATTCTTAAGTGTCCTAATTCTGTTCTGATTTTTGGTGGTGGCAGCGGTGGGAGTTCACTGCTAAGAAGCATCAATTAAATGCAGTATCTTAAGAAATATGAAGTGACTTGTAAAGTATAAAAACATAGGCGATAAGGGCAAATGTGTATCTGCCCTTTGACATTACCTAAAAGGAACAGACGACACGTTTCCATGCCATTCTTCATCTGGACAAAGGCAGAGTATCTTAGTTATCTAGAGCTGCTGTAACAGAAATACCACAAGTGTATGGCTTTAATAAACAGAAATTTATTTTCTCAGTTTAGAAGGCTAAAAGTCCGAATTCAGGGTGCTGGCTCTAGAGGAAGGCTTTTTCTCTCTGTTGGCTCTGGAGGAAGGTCCTTAACTCTTCTGAGCTCCTGTTCCTGGGTAGTCTTCACGTGGCTTGGCATCTCTCTTCCACCGTCTCTACTTCTCTTGATTGCTTGTTTAATCTTTGTCATATCTCAAGAGAGATTGGCTCAAGACACACCCTACACTGATCCTGACTCATTAACACAACAAAGACAACCCATTTCCAAATGGGATTATAACCACAGGCATAGAGGTTAGAATTTACAACACATATTTTGGGGGGACACAGTTCAATCTATAATATTCCACCCTCTGGCCCCCTCAAATTCGTTTCTTTTCCACATGCAAAACACACTCCCCATCACATCATCCCAAAAGTCTTAAATCAATGCCAAATCCAAAATCTTATTGTATGAATCATCTAAATCAAATATGGGTGAGACTTTAGGCATATTCCATCCTGGGGCAAAATTCCTCTTTAAGAATGTGTGAAATTTAGAGTACAAGTTATCCACTTCCAAAGTACAATGGTAAAACAGGCACAAGGTAGACATTTCCATTACAAATGGGAGAAACTGGAGAAAAAGAAGGGATAATGGGCACCAAGCAAGTCCAAAACTCAGCATAACAAATTACATTAGTTCTCAAGGCTTGAAAATAATCCTCTGTTCTCTGAGACCATCTGGACAATGGCCCCACCCTCCAGACTCTGGGTGTTAGCCATGCTCTCTGGATTCTGGGTGGAGGCCCCT